TCTTACTCACCAATCGTTCACGAGATGTCACCTTTAACAGGTTGATAGCTAAACCAATGCATAGTACTAAGTCACAACGACTAATGCAAAGAAGTAAAAACTAAGTCAAATGCATATATAACCTCTTTCCTTGTAACCGGAATGTAGATGCACAGATTATACAAAGGTACAATATGTCACCTTGCAAGGGTTGCGGTGCGTGTCCGTGGGGCACAATCAATTAGTGAGCCGGGTATACCGAGCACTTCCGTTTCCGAGCGTTTAGGGACTTCCGGCAGGGGCGGAATGATCGCCCTCTGTATTCAAATATTCCGTTCCAAATTACTAACAATGTAAAAAATACTTTAAGTTGTTACATTTAAAGTTTGAAATTGTGTTTCGTGCGTGAACATTGTGGACGTGCGTGTACAATGTAAACGTTCTAAAATTCTACAGGTAATCTAAAAAAAACTTTAAGGCTGTTAAGTTAGGGTTTAAAATTGTGTCTGAATTGTATGTGGTGGACTGTACTAATAACTATTGTGTTCGACACGTCACCACGGTAGTCTGTAATTGTAATTTATGGCATCGTTCCTCATTAGTTTATGGACAATTAAAGTTGAGCTGCTTGATGTGATTGTGACTTTAACTAACTTTGATAGTTTTGATTAGATTTTGTACTTTTTATCTAAGACTATGAGATTAATGTTGATAGTGCTGCAATGAATAGCATAGACTTTACTGTACCTACACTTCTACTTATTCCTATCCATTAAAAAAAGTTTTAAAAGTTTGAAGACTAATTCGGTTTCCGATATTTTTCATCGTCATCATAACAGACACGGATAGTCTGACAATTCTCAACAATATACTTTAGATACATTTTTGAAAGTAGAAAGATATAACATTGTAAGTCAACATATACTTAATAAAACACAGTTTTTGGCTTTAAATCGAGATTTACTACTCACTTACGCTTACATTATATTATACGCTTTTAATCAGTCAGTCATTGATACAACGGCCTTACATAAAACCGAAGTGAAACAACACTTGCGTTGTATTTCATCGTACGAGTGAGGTTACTGGAGACTCAATTAACCCCCCTCCCTATTCCTAATCTCCCTAATCCCTGAATCACCAACAATCCTTAAATTCCTAATCCCCAAAAGGCCGGTGTCACACTTTCAATACCTCTGGTGTTCCAGGTGTCCATGGGCGACGTCCATTGCTAACCATCAGGTGATACGTATCCTCTTAAACATTACCAAATGATTTTACCATAAACTTGTTTACTGATAATTTCAAAATCTAAAACTGGGAATAGAATATGATGCTAATGACATAACTAGTGAAAAGTGGGGGTTTGCTTGTTGTAATTACAGGTATACCCTTCGGGAAATGACAGACTGACATAATTGCAAGTTACCTATAAAGGTATATCATACATTTTCTGTAACATTTATCAAAATTCTAAGTAAGTATTTTGCAAATTGCAGAATATTTCTTTTATAATTACTTAGGATTAATTTTATTTCTTTGAAAGTGTGTTATGTAGTGTACGATTATGTGACAAGTGCGACCGGGTAAGGGGTCTCGGGTTCGATTCCCGGATCAGGAAAAGTACTACTTTTTAAATACTTAGTAGTTGTACGGAGTCTGGAATTGTCCCCGGTATATGGCAATAGGCTCACCCCCTATTACATGGGACTCAAAACATAAACAGTAAAAAATGTGTGTGAGATGTTAGGTATGTTATGTTACGATTATGTGCTTTTGATTGTTGTACATATTTATACATATAAGCTGTATTGATGAGGAATTCTACTGTACCTACTTTAAGTCTTTTTCTCTTTTACTACTGTGCCATAGCGCGTTGGAGCGAGGATTGGTATTAGTACGTGTACCTCAGGAGTTTTTTTTACTTTTCTAAACTGCCATTCAATTTAATGTAACAATTTCAATTTTGATCCAATTATATAAGTTTTTGACAATAGAGTCACGCTTATTACTCTACATACATCTGGCAAAGTTTCCAATACAGATTTATAATTATGTACAAAAAACCCAACAGATGAATAACTTATGATAACACCGTTGATTATTATTTTCATCTGCACCTGTATTCTAAATCTATGTCGTTTAGTTTATTGTTTTCTTATTAACCTTTTGAGCGCTGATGTCACATATAAGTGACAAGTGAAAACTGTCCCTGGACGCCAACGACACAAATACATGACAGAAAAAGCGGAACCGGAAACACGAAATCAACAATTTGATTCCCTATTGGAATCCCTATTTCTTCCGTAGAAATTTGCGCGGAATTTGTGGCTTGGCGTTGAGGGCAGGTTCATGTGTTTTTGCTCTGGCGTTCAAAAGGTTAATACTTAATATCAATTGTGTTCAACGGATAAACACATTAAGATGAGTTATGATCACTAGATGTTCAAAAATCACGGGTTACTCACGTGAGTATACTGAGAAAATCTCTACTAGTTTTGAGCCACAAAGGGGTCTTCCTCATGACCAGCGTGCGTAGTCGTGGTGATGTCGAGCAGCCTACTCATGAGGATGAACCCCTCTGTGGCTCGAAACTAGTTGAGCTTTTCTCAGTATATTCACGTGAATAACCCGCGATTTTTATGTAATTTAGTAAGTCTTACGATAGTTATTATAAAAACTAGATGTAGGTAGAGGGATATACAATGAATAACTCACTTTTCACCAGTTACATTATGACACCCATCATAAAATGACACCATTAACATGTTAATCGCCATGGGGGCAACCGGTGACAGACCATCCCTTCAACAGTTTTCTATTGGCAGTAAAATCATTTTTTTTATGGCCTAAGCCGGTAAACGAGCAGACGGATCACCTGATGGTAAGCAATGGGCGTCGCCCATGGACACCTGGAACACCAGAGGCGTTATAAGTGCGTTACCAGCCTTTTGGGGATTGGGAGTTTGAGGATCGTTGGGGATTCAGGGATTAGGGAGATTGGGGAAGGGGAGGGGGGTAATTGTGCCTCCGGTAACGTCACTCGCACGACGAAACACAACGCAAGCGTTGCTTTACGTCGGTTTTCTGTGAGGCCGTGGTATCACTCCGGTCGAGCCAGCCCATTGGTGACGAAGCATGGCTCTCCCACATTAATTTCCCACACGAATTTAATTAAGAAAAGACAATGCCTTAAAATACACCTTTATTTTTTCTATTGCAATACGTTTAGTTGCCATTGAATATCACTTATTAAATATCCCCGACACTCCACTTACTGATAACACGTAATATTGATATCAGTAACTAAGTACTCTATCGGAATTGCTATCTTGCAATCAGATGATATCAAAATATATCAATTAAACGACCCACTTCGTTAACGGTGATTAAATACGTAATTTAGACCATTTTTGACTTATTTTAGGGTACTGGGTTCGTTTCTTAAGTGATGTTATTTGTAGACAGAATTGTTAATGTAATTAGTGTTAATTAGATTTTGTTGATATCATAAAATTAGACCTGTTAATGTATTCAATAAAAAATACATTAACATGTCAATGTTAACTAGAAAAAAAATACAGAAAATAAAAAATAATAAAGTGATTGATTGATAAGATCCTTAAAAGCATTAAGAGGAATGTCTAATTATCAAATAGAGTAAAATGATATATTTCAACCCAATATTTTACAGAATCGAGAGATCCTGTAGATCCTTTCTTGTATCGTATGCAGGCAAAGCCATAGGAACCATAGGCGCAACACTCATACTAAATACACTACAATATTTTATCCTACAAAAACACACACAAAACTAACTCAAATCCTAACTCATTTTAATTTACAATTCCACAGTCCCGTTCGTCAACTTGGGACATTTTCTAACATTTTAGACAGAACAGATTATCATAATATACATTTTAATGCCACAGCACACATGTATACAACTGACCCCCTCGAAGGCAACATCACACACGTTGCGATCTCACATTTTTTTACGTTGACAACACTGGCACAAAATGGTGGAAAAAAAACCATGTGTACGGTACAAAAAATGTTCCTTTTACAAACAGCTGAGCGTTGATAAGCGGCTCTTGGGTTTCTGAGTCGAGTTGGTGAGATTTAAACAAAATTTTAAAGTAAAAAAGAGTTGTAGGTGCTTTCTTAGGATAATAGTTTCTTATAATATGAGGAAATGGTTTATACAAATTAGCAATTCGCGTATTGTGTCAATTTGGTTGCTGTAGGTACCTCTAAAACGGCTATGAAAATTATGATAATCTTATTTTATGGTAGCAAAAAGAAATTGATATTTAGACTGTCCCTGAAAGGTTTATATGGAAGTATTATTATGTGGTACAATATGCATGTATGTTTACCTAACGGCTAACGACCAAAGTAACAAAGAAGTCGGTTTACAAAATAGATTTTAATTGCGTCCCATATCTTTAAAAATATTCGGACCACAACTTCCGGTTCGTTTAGTTTTACGTATGTGTTGTTGATGTAGCCGATAGGCTGCTGTACCTACTTTAAACTTAAACAATCTAACCCAACATATACAAACTAAGTATACAGTTCCTAAGTTCTGATATATAATTTCAGAAACAAGATTGAAGGCTGAACTTAGTCGTAAAATAATGAATACGTTGGAAATATAGTTATACTAGTACAGGTGGCACCAATTAATGGTAGAATTTATTGGTATGCTACCAGTCAAGACTTTAAACCTTATAATATATTCAAACTAACTTTTAAACGTTTCAATGAATAACAACACACAGACAGTTTTAAAGTTATCAGAGTCTATCAGATTACCTCGGATTAATTTAGACTCATTATTAATAACGATAGTTGTTTTAGCTTCTTAAAAACAAAACAGGAGTGTGTTAAACACATTCAAATATAAAATTGTTACTCAAGTAGCGAGTTAACACTAACAGTTGCTTTTTGTGTTGCCCTATTTCCCGTAGCCGGCTGACTTATCTCCAACACATCGATAAGGTAAGCGTGTCACTAACCTGGCGCCAGGTTCCCTCTGGGCTTAGCTCCTAGAATGGCGAGGTTGACGTTTGCTTTCCTCCCATCGATGATGGGATTAGGGTCCTTGCACGCCCTCTCCGCCGCCGCTCGGTCTCCCATTATCACCTGTAAACAAATAACCCAATTTATTTCTGACAATTTAAATGTAATTTTGTACTAAATCGATTTAACTAACAAATACGACTGATGACGTCGAACCAACATTACCTATTGTAATGCATGCGTGATCCGCGGGTCGCCACCTCATCGCTTCTACTGTTGAATCGACCATTTTGAATTGACCTACCGTGTCGCCCGCTTGACTTTGAGTTTCGAATGTTGTGAACAAATAACTATAAAACCAAGGGTTCAGTTTAGAATAGAATAGAAGCGTATAGCAAATGCTTGATAACCTCTAGATACCAAAAGTCTGGAACAATTTGGGTATTTAAATTTATTTAGATTTTTATTTGTGTCCGATGTGGAGATCGACGTGTGCTGTCGAATTTATTCCATCATTTATCACATTGGTAACAAAAACCTATATGTAGCTGTTTCTATGATATTTTTTGTGTGACTTATTTTTAAACATTTCTTAGTATTTTTACCATTGAAACCCAGAAATTTTAGAATTCAACAGGTATTGTATGTAAATTCCTTCGAGGATTGGAAGAACAAGTATAAATTAAATAAATGAATCGGCGTCGTGTAGTCTTCATGGAGTTTGTAAACCGTACAAATCGCAGTTAGGCGCGGTTTGCGATAACGAATACTATCGACTGGCTACTAACTGCTGCTAGTTGGCAGCTCAAGTTTATTATATCGAGGTCTTAAAGCAACAGTTGTTATTTTCAATTTAATGAATTATTTCATACATACGCCGATGTTGTAACTGTAAAGGATTTGTTCTACTTGCTTAATACATTGAAATTGCAATAAAATATAATAAGTAGGTTTACAGTTATGTACAGATTATGATTTGACTAATGTAACTAACTTATAAATAAATATAGCATACTAATCGATACCAATACGCCATTACGCCATATTCCAATGCATTTGACCGATAAAAACGCTCTAACTAACTAATTAATTAATATTAAAAAAATCCTATTGTTTATCACCAGTACTCAGACGCCAGAATGAAATTTGAACTTCATTTTTACACGACATATAACTAGACATTCGTATTATCCACCTAAGTTTTGTACCACATAAACGGACTTATCCAATACCCGTTTGTTCCCTTATCAAATGTAGGTAACATGCATAATTATTCCACCGTCATACTCAACGTGAAACTTGACAAGAATGCACAGTTTATTTAAATTTTACATTTCTGATATCGTTTGTGAAGGCTGCTAACAAATTAGTTCAATGTTTTCTATATTAATTTGAAGTGTAGAACGTACTATAAATATCTTTTCACAAATTAAACCCGATTTTTTTTTAAATAAACGTAGCCGCTCTCTATGTTTTTCTCCTGTGTTGTAGGTGCGTTTACAAACCACACACACGCGTTCACATACACATGACACCCAGACTCGAAACAACAATTTGTGGATCACACAGAGTTGCTCCGTGCGGGAATTGTTCCCGCTGCACGTTGCGCGGCAGCCGTTCGAGCCACCGCGCCAACTGTGCAGTCAAAATAGTCTCGTTGTCTGCAAGTGACAAGAACACGACTTCTTCGTTTTAGGTAAAGCCTTAACTTAATTTTTAAAGTAAAAAAGACTTCTTGAACTTTTCAATTCAAACATAGATAAACTCACGCCTTTATCGGGGCTACATAGAAACCACAGACTGCATAGTTTTATAAATATGTGAATTAGACTGACAGAGAAATGGGTAAAGAATTTTCACTAATGTTTACATTAAATATTAAAAATATTGATTTGTAAACAAATTATACAATGCCCCAAATTACCCAAACTTCCTTCAAACAAAATATTACGGAACATTTAGATTTTTTTGTTTTGTTACTAATATCGATTGCAACGTCAATTAATTATATTTGAACTTGGTGTATACGTTGTTGAACCTGAGACCTAGCACGCCTAACATCAAGGCAAAAGTATGATCCTATATCTCCATAATCCTTTCCACAAAAATAGTCGCACAATATCTACAGACTATCATAAAATTAAATACTGTGTGTATTCACGAACAGTATTGATTTGTATAATCAAGCTAAATCTACGGACACCTCAACCTTCAGCCAAACATTTTTTGTGCAGTGCATTAGAAAAAACATCACGTTCATTAAAGATTAACATCCACTTACAATTGCAATGTCAGAACATCACACTATATCTCATAATTTCAATGAACAAATAGCCTTGTATACGTATAGGCAAAGACTTCCTTTTAATGCCCAATTAATTTCACTACTCAATTCTACGCAGAAAAAGCAAATTTTAATATTGCAACTAACAACAATAACCTTGACTCCTACTACAATGGCACTATTCACATAATTTATGAGAAATGGGTGAATTTATAATCTGTACACCTAAGCCATGTAAAAAAAATAAGAAAAAAACATTCACTGACAGATGTCAATCAAAAATTTTTGTGTCAGATCAAACGGTTTTGATACTTGCTACGTTACGTTTACTCGCAAAGTGACATATTCTACAAAGTTGCGGAAATAAAAATGAATAACAAACTCCATTGTCTAGATAAATACTGTCATTATTTTAATATTCGTCGCTGAGTACAAGTTGGATTCCCCGTGGCAGCTCAATATTTGTATGAAGTGACCTTCGCTATATGAATAACAGAATTGCAATTTGCTTTCCAGATCTTTTAGAACATAGTACGTACACAGTATACATATACATACATAGCTTCACGCCTGTCTTCCATGGCGGTAGGCAGAGTCTATGGAACGCCAATTACTATGACTCTCACATACCTCTTTCGCTTCATCAACAGTCATCAATATTTTCATTGGTTAAGGGTACTTTTCATATGGCCCTTCTTTAATATATCGCAGTAAACATTTATATTTTTTTATATATCTCAATAGAACTAGTGTTGCTGCGACTTTTTACCCGACTATAGCATAGCAAGATGTTCCCAATTCTCATAAAATGAGTCAGATTATGTAAGATATGGAGATGTTTATTTTTTACCTAGCAAAGTTAGCAAAGAATTTTTGCCCAACGTGTGGGAATCATTATACGTCAATTAACACATCTCAGCCTACATTTTCAGCGAAAAATAAGCAAACTGTTACGTTTATTGTTCAAAGAAATAATGAAACAAATGCCGGCATTTTAACGATCAAGCATCAAAATTAACTCGTTTGTACCAGTTTTGTAGCATATTCTAATTAAATATCAAGTTTAACAAATAAAGGAACTTAAAAATAACAATATTGTTATATGAGTGAAATAATACGAGCGTATTTCTTTCGTCAATGTAACAGCAGCCTTAAAAGTCTACGGCGTAGCCCGTAGCCGGTAGGCGTGTCCAAGATCCGCCCATATTGACCCGACTTATGACACTTTCATAAGGCGGTTTACAGTTTTCCTCCTTGTTACAAATTAATTAATATATTATTTAATATTATATTTTAACTGTGTAATAATTTATGATGTGTGTACCTTGCATTTTTAGTAAATACTCAATGTATTCTAAGTAAAAATAGAACATATATTTAATGTTTTTTTCTGCGCTATAATGTCTATCATTTATAATTTTATACTCAGATGTGGAGGCGTAAGATTTTTTTATTTAAATAATACTATTAACACTTTTTCTTGCTTAAATACCTAATAATTATCGTCTCGTCAACGTCTGGTAAATAATAATGAAGGCTTTTTATACCGTAACTGTTAGAAATGTTGCCTCAAACCGCCTTATTGAACATAACATAACATCACGCCTTTTATCCCCGAAGGGGTAGGCAGAGGTGCACATTACGGGACTTAACGCCACTGTACAATGTAACACCCACTTTTCACTATTTATGTTATGAGTCCCATGTAATAGGGGGTGAGCCTATTGCCATACACAGGGCACATTTCCAGACTCCGTGCTACTGAGGTTTTTACAAACCGCTTTATTGAAATGTATGTATTAATAGTGTAATGTTCATAAATGGGTCTTCTCTCTCTTTCTTTCTTTCATATACTTGCTATCTCATTCGTATGCTTGCTTATGGGCCTTATAACATTTCAATCATCAGTAGATTTTTTACTGTAGTATAATATGGAGATTGGATATTTTTTAGTATGGAAGAATTGTCAAATGTTCAAAGTTATTTCTTAGTTAAAATTTATCTGGCGTTGAAAAATCGAGCCTTATTTATATGTATGTATATTGTTATTTTACAGCACAAGAAATATATGTGTGAAAAGTAGTCGGTCAGTTATAGTCTGATTTATATTTATTTATTATTATATTTTATAGTTATATAATTTTATATAAAATAGTTATTAGTCTGTTATTGTTATATGAAAATATAACTGTATTAATGATAGCAAGGTTGGTTTTTATTTCAATATTATTAAGGTTGATTAAGCGATAACAATTGCAATTGTTTGTGATAACAGTGTTATCATTATCGTACAGTTTACTGATTAACTCATCCGAATCAGATTTAGAAACACGATTTTTAAGTATTTTTATTGATATTTCCTTTCAGATAATTTTTTGTTGATTAATATTTAACTGCAATAAGTAATGGTGCTTACATAAGATGTATGAAATACAGCTTCTGCCCGCGGCATTGCCGGCGTTCACATGGGATAAAAAGTACCCTATGTGTTATTCCAAACCATAATTTATCCCTGTTCCAAATTTCATTCCGATCTGTTCAGCCGTTTTGACGTAATTGAGTAACAAACATAGAAATAAACTAACAAACTTTCATATCTATACTTATAATAAATCTGTAGAGAGGTCAATTCTGTACATAAAATATATTTAAAAAATAACTATCAAGGGGTGATTAGGGATCGCTACTGATGCCAAAAATGCAATCAGTAAAATTTTTGTCTGTCTGTCTGTCTGTCTGTATTTTCGTTATGGAAACAAAAACTACTTGATGGATTTTAACGAAATTTGGCACAATTATTCTTCATACTCTTGGGCAGGTTATAGTATACTTTTCATTACGCTACGATCAATAGGAACAGAGCAGTGAAGGGAAATATTGGGAAAACGGGAGAAGTTACTCCATTTTTTAAGCTTCCGTCGCGTGTGCAGGCTTATAGGTTAAAGCTGCATAGAAATCATGTATGACGGATATATTTTCCTTAAAATTATATAAAAAATATTCCTCGACAGCATATGTCTTTCTTTTATGGTTAACTCACAATAACACGTGAAACTTCCGATAGCTTAGCAATTCGGTGATTTCTGATTGTATTTGTCTACTCTAACGTTTACAATACTCATTCATAGACTTTACGCTGTATCTGAAAGGCCAATGGTTGAAATTAGCTTGACTCGATATTATAAATGAAAATATGTGAGTTTATGTGTATGTTTGTTACTCAGTCATATTAAAACGACTGAAGGGACCGGAATGAAATTCGGAACAGAGGTAGATTATGGTCTGAAGTGATACATAGGCATTTTACCCCTGGGATCGCGGGCGAAGCCGCTGGCAGAAGCTAGTTTATAATATTAGTAAGATGTCGGTAAGATATATAAAACATTAAGAGAAGACTTGTACGTTTTGAAATTAAAAGTTTAACCAATGCGCCTTAAGTAACTATAGGACTGTTTTTAGGACTGTTTCTAAGTCCAACTATAAAAATATTGTCATCTAACATATATGCACCTGCGTGTGTGTGTGTGTGTATGTTATACAAATATTTTATGCGAATAAAATAATCATTTATTATTTCAATATATTTATTTAAAATTCTCTATAAATTACATTTTTAAATACTACATACAAAATAAAAAAATAATATTCTAAAAATATAAAAAATAGGAGCCGACCAGTAGCGGGAGAATGGTCCAAGCTACCGGTGGTTAGGGCTCCAGAGACAGAAACCTCCTCCTCCTCCTTATTTATTATTATTATTAGAAAATCAAAGTATTCTGTCTTTGTGTGTAAAAGAGGCCTTAGTCCTGAATTTGAAAAAAAAATGAATGTTTAATGTTAGAAAGGTGTTTATTGTATCTATGTATGTTACATTGACGTAAAACGGGGCATTATGGGCCATATTATGTACTGTTTAATTAGGGTGTTTATTTTGTTTGCTAAAGTGTAGTGAAGGTGGCGTTATTCAATGTAGGTACTTACCTATATGAAAGTACATTTGATGGTATCGCAATAAAGGGCTTTCTACATATGTAAAGTTCCTACTTTTTTAAATGTTAATATATGTTATGATGGTTAAAATTTGTCACCTTTTTCTAGTATCTTGTTAGTTTTACAAATATTGTCTTTATGCTTGCAAAAATGTTCTTTAACTTTCGTTGCATTAGTCAACTTATTCAAAACAATTATAGGAGTTTATTCTGATGGTAAGCTAATGTTGAAATGTCATGTCAAGAAGGTATTGTAATGGCAACAGATAAGTTACACTTATTACACAACTTCAAGTGTTCAAACGATTTATAAACAAAAACTGAAGTTTTTTATTCAATTAGTCGCATAATGGCCGTAGGTGTTACTCTAGAGGTATTTTTCTCACAGTTCTGTCTCGTTTATTGTATTCCTCGATGTTAGATGTACCCGTACGCTATCAGATGACGTTCTTTTGTTTTCCTCGAGTACTTCAGCACGTCCCGGCTGGAGCCGGCTGCCGGTCGCTTCGACCCAATGCTTAACTAGAGCAAAGGGACTTGCACCAACCGACTCACAAAGAAAAGGAACTATTATATAACATTAAACGACTGTTGTAGGCTCTGTAATATTAGTGTGTTCAATACCAATCAGTCCCGGCGCTTAATGCCGCTTACGACGTAATTTACAATCAATTATAAACAAGTCATCGTTTACAAAATAATGATTTAAAGTTCACAACCGTGACAAATGTTTAATAGCGTATTAACATTATTAATTCTACATACTTACATAAATCTTTTATCGAAATATAGTTATGACATTATTGAGTAGATTTCGAAAATAAAATTTTAGTTTATAACACAATTGTAAAGTGTTACGAACGATGTATTGCGATGCGATTATTACAGCTATTTGGTTGTCATAGGGAGGGTGGTGCGCGTCGTGTTCCCTCAGGGTCTCACCACCCCTAGTACGAATTGAAAATAGGGTTGTGATTCATTTCTCACGAGACCCACGCTGCACCCAACAAACCCTCTAACTTTATTACATTCAACTAGCTGCATGGAAAAAGCGTCGTTCACTGCATCTGTTGTTTAGAAATAATAAATAGATTTCATGAAATATGCTCGAATACAGACGAATACATCAAATACATGAATATCGTGAGTCTAATTCATTTTATACACACTACTTGGATAAGGAGGTGAATAATTTAGAATGCTACCTATTACAATATATTTCCGATTCACGTGTCCGTGACATATCTGTGTTTTGGCACAATAATTCCAAATGTGACGCTGCATCATCCTGAAATGGAAATCGACAGCGCTGACATCGATGTATGTATCTTAAAGGAAGTGCGCATCGTGCCCTCTATTTTCAGTGGGTACATGCATTGTTTGACATTTATACCTGCGTGGAACAACTTCCGTGTTTGATGTAATTTTGCGATACACCTCGTATGTGTACATGTATGTGCTTAGTTGCCGGTGGGTTAGGTATAATGTAGGTAGCAATGAGGTGCGATAACGCGCTAACTGTGCGATACGGTCGGTGTTTCAGAGCCGACACGAGTCGACTGCGCACGAGCATTAAAAGTTTACGTGTCAATTCAGTTTCACATACCCGATGCTTTCGTTTCATGAAAATAAGTTACGATGTTAGTTTCGGCTGTTCAACATAAACATCGCTCAAATAAAGGTTAAAAATACTCACGAAGCCATATCCTCTGCTTTTGCTGGTCTGTCTGTCTGTGATGACCACCGCTTCCTCGATGTCGCCGTAGACAGCGAAGTGTTCCCTGAGACTCTTGTCAGTTGTGTGGTACGGAAGTCCCCCGACGAACAGCTTGGTCCAGGTGGTGTCTTTCTGGCCTGGCAGCGCGCCCAGTGCCAGCAGCCCCTCGGGCTCGGCCGGCAGAGCGCCCGCCATCAACATGCCTTGCACAGCCTCCGTCGCGCCGGCCACCGTTGCACTCTGCTAACACTGTCACTGCGGCCGCTGTTGCGGTCTCCCAGGCTACGTTTCGCGCGGGTGTAGCTTAAGTTACAGTTGTAAACACTGATGTGCGTGCGGGAGCGACCGGTCGTCGTGGTGGTTGAGCGCGGACTGATGCTCGCTCGCAGCGCACGTGGCGCTCCGGTACTAATTTTAGCCCCCGCCGCGCCCCCCTCGTCACCAGATGCGTCGCCGCAGTCCCGGCCACATGCGTTGCGTGCCCTACCATGCCCTACTGCCTGCTACCCTCCACTCACGCTTAATGATATGCCTCGTTATCATAGATGTGTTGGTCTTGAGGAACTTACTTCGTCGCACCTTTTACCTAAGCTATGTTACATTATGTATGTGGGACAGAAATACGACAGATCGCGGTATTGTTCCAAAATTGATACACTTGAATCAATAACAAAAATTTTAGCAGGCATACAATACAATGTAATTAAAGAAATATTTCATGTGTTTGCTTCATGTAAAAGTTATAAGTAGAGTGCAGAGTGAGAGATGACTAAGCAGGTAGCATAGTTCATTTTTTAAGCGGGCTTCTATGACCGACGTATGAACGTAAAAGCCAAATTCGTTTGTCTATTTAACAGCAGAACAAAGACAAACAATTTGAAGACACGCGTAAATAATTACGAATAGTAATGAATTGGTCAAAATGTCTGAACGATGACCTCACAAACTCACAATACGCTGAAGAATTAACACTTATTTCCTGACCTTGCATAAAACATAATTAAGGTAACATACAACTTATAATTATTGTAGTAACGTAGAAATGTGTAAGTGAAGGAACAATATGTAGATTTTTCACATTTAACTACTAGGTACTTTTAACTTTATTTAATTTTCAATCTTATTTCCAAACTCTATAAAAATCACATTTCATCGTCCACAGTACATAGCAACTTGGCTGCTATTAACGAACGTATTGTAATGCAATAAGACGTAAAATACAAAATTATGCAAACCGTCTAAAACATTTCAACACTCATCTTGGGAACAATATCGGATCTCTCTGTCTAACTGTAGGAAAAAAACAGTCCTATTCAAAATTGTATGGCGATCCGTAGAAAGGTGTTGACATAAAAACAAGGAAACAATAAGGCAGTCTGGTACGGGGTTTGAGTCCAGGATACTAAAGATAAACAAAACGATAAAGTACTTAGGTACCGGCAATTACGGGTACTTCATCATCGTCGTCAGCCACGTTTGGTAGGTGACATAGGAGTTGCAGTTATGATTCCAAGATTAAGGACTTAAGAGGCCGCCACTGCTCGTCTATAAATTGCTAGTCGCATACTCAGGTCCAGGGTCCAGGATCCAGGGTCGCGGTGGCCCGGAGGTTTAAGACGCCCGCTTCTCATGCATTAAGGGTGCGAGTTCAAAACCTACCACAGGAAGTACCAATGTGACTTTTTCCGAGCTATATGTACTTTCTGAGATTATTCGGACACCACTGACAAGCGGTGAAGGAAAACATCGTGAGGTAACCTGGGCTTATAATTTCTAATTATAAGTTTGTAATCGCCAACCCGCATTGGCAAGCGTGGTGATTAATGCTCAAACCTTCTCCTTTGCTCAGCAGTGGGCACTTATAGGCTGTTGATGTGTGATACTCAGGTCCATAGTTCCATACCTGATAGTTCACCGTTGGCACGAGAAAGGTAAGGTCTACGATTCCTAGAACTTAATATTGGTTAATAAATAGTGATATTAGTCTACAATAACCCTTAACCGACGAGCATGCAGAAAAGATTGATGACTATTTAAGGAATCGAAAGAGGTATGTAAGAATCGCAGCAATTCGCGTTCCATAACCTCTGCCATCCCCCATGGGAGACAGGCGCGTCGTTGTGTATGTACTTATCCTTACTAATATTATAAATCGCTAAGTGAGTTTGCTTGTTTGTTTGTTTGTTCCACTTTCACGCCGTAACTACTAAACCGATTGCTTTGATTTTTTGCAGACGTAAAGTTAGAAGTCCGGATTAAATAATAGGGTACTTTTTAACCCGGAAATATTTGATATTACCGAGGAAAAACGAAAGTATTGGTATAGGTGGCGCTGTGTGTATTGGTATATGTCACATAGGCTACTTTTTATCCTTTTGTGACGCGAACGAAGCCGCGGGTAAAAGCTAGTGTATGTATAAGTCTACAATTGCATGTTTGTCGCAGACATGCTGTTAAGCGACCTGTTGCAGACTGGAATCCCCAATGCGACAACTATTTTACTACATTTGTAGGATCCACACATTGCTTGTTGATCTTGATGAAACATAACATACATAACATCACACCTTTTATCCCTAAAGGGGTAGGCAGACGTGCACGTTATACCACTGTACAATGTAACACCCACTTTTCACTATTTATGTTATGAGTCCCATGTAATAGGGGGTGAGCCTATTGCCATATACCGGGCACAATTCCAGAGTCCGTGCTACTACTGAGAATATTTAAAAACCCAGTAATACTTTGCCCGACCCGGGAATCGAACCCGAGACCCCTTGCCCGGCAGTCGCACTTACGACCACTCGGCCAACGAGGCAGTTATCTTGATCTTGATGAAAATTTGATAAATATATTGAAAGTTGCGTTTGTAAATGGACCCATGACCGCAACGCAGTGGAAATTTCTTAGAGTAGGTACTTAATCTAATGATTTCAAAAAAAGAAAATGTCTTTTATTTCTATTGTGGTGCAAAATGTAGCCGTTGCCGTAAGTACAACTCTGCCTAATACTTTTGGAAACGAAAACTAGCGTGATATTATGCTACGTGTTAATACACTTGGCCACTGTCGGCTGTGTACAATTAGGATTTGTGTACATACAAACTAAACGAGCGAACTAAGGTTAAGACCGAGTTGTATCTAGTAAATAAACTAAAACCTAATTTACTTAGGAATTGTTTATACTGTAATATTACGACTCTGTAACTATGGTGAACGGAAATACTTACATTACTGTTCCGACGAGGTCACTCTACTAGTTTCAAACCATACCAGGGGCCTATAATCATGTACAGTATGCGCGATAACTGACAGGGTAAGCGCAAATAGTCTTTTAGCGTATAATCTTCCTATATTCTCCTTAATTTAATATATAATCTTTTCTAATAATATATTATATAATCTTCCTTCAAACCTTTTAGCGTATAGTCTGATCCTTCGGGCGTATAATCTGCTAGTTATATACCTCTACATAGGCTTTTACTTCTTACCCCAGTACCGCAAGTCAAGCCACTGACAGAAGCTAGTGAACATATCATATATTATTATAGATATTTACAACCAGCTGACTGCCTCATTGGCTGGGTTGTCGCAAATGCGACTGCCGGGCAAGGGGTCTCGGGTTCGATTACCGAGTCAGGCAAAGTATTACTGGTTTTTCTCAGTGGTAGCACGGAGTCTGGAACTGTGCCCGGTATATGGCAATAGGCTCACTCCCTATTATATGGGACTCATAATATAAATAGTGAAAAGTGGGTGTTACATTGTACAGTGGCATTAAGTGCCGTAAGGTGGACCTCTGCCTACCCATTCGTGGATAAAAGGCGTGATGTTATGTTATGTTACAACTAGCTGTTGCCCGCGTCTACGTCCACGTAAAATATGATTCCTGTTTTATCCCATGGAAGCATTTAATCGGAATAAAAAGTATCCTATCACCCAAGCCAGCCCATACCCTGCCTGTATACTAAATTTCATCAAAATCCCTTCAGTACATTGACTGACAAACAAACAAACAAAGAAACTTTTGGATTTATAATATTAGTGTGATATACAAGAATACTTATATGTTTTTTTTTATATGTATAATAAGTATATTTTTTTCTTTAATATAACGTTCCCCACATTTGGATTTTCTCCTGTGTCGTGGGTGCGTTTACAAACATACAAGTTCACATACACATGACACCCAGACCCGAAACAAAAATTTGTGTACAACCACCGTGCAGTCAACACATTTACCTCTTTCCATTCAAACACTTATAATCCTTCCTCCACACACACTGCTAAAGGAAATAGGTAGTATATACTATGTGAATATGAATGTTAAAAACTAGCAGGCCGGACTAGTGACGTGGAGGAAGCGATCGGTTCCACATAGTGTTCACAAGAACAATGCGTTTCCCACAGCAAACCAACCGACCCTTCCGGCCGTAACACGAAGCCATTGATTGACAATTATACAATATCTTGTAACTAATTCATTTGTAGGTTTTAATTTCGTTAATTTATGATGTGATATACCTTTAATTTGATAGATGTTGGTTTTGTTCAAAGTATATTATCAGAGCCTATGCCTTTAGCCAAACGCCACTTTAGCGCTTCTTTACAAAGAGAACAGAAAACTAAATGTATGGTGATGACACCGACAAGTGTCAAAATTTACGTCAATTCAATATAATTTGGTTTTCTATTCTACAAGTAGACAAGCGCTAAATGGCATTTGGCTACAGCTGCTGTTTCAAATGCAGCTATTTTACTTTACAAAATAGTATATAAGGTTTTTAAGTCGGAATAGCGTTTAAATCCTGTATTCGTTTATGAAAATGCCCCTAAATTTATAGAAGATAATAAAAGAAATTTAAAAATATGATATGATATGAAGAGTAGATGAAAATGCAGATCTTAATGTAACATCCACTTCTTATTTTATAAATGTCGTATAATTGGGGCTAAGCCCATTGCCACACTAGAGTACAATTCCAAATCTGAGCACAACCCTGTCATCATCCCACATTAAAATTAAAAATCTAATTAGTCCGTAAGTTAGGTAATGAATAAATATTAGACACGTATTTTTTGTCGTATAATAAAACAATAGGTACTTAGATAAAACGAATCAAAGTTTAGGAGTGGGGGTTAGAACGTCATTTCTACGTATAAAATGTACATAGAAGTGACGTCACGCGACATTTCAAATCA